TTTCTCCCCATTTTGGATGGTTAGAGAAAGACATAGAATTATTGTTATAATAGAGTTTTATTATGCACTTGAGTTGTTTGATGAAATGCCTAATAGAGGTTTGAGTATGAGTAGTGAACCTTAATTCTTGCAACATTGCATGTTGGCATATCATAAGTGCATTAGTGGAGGTGAACCATCCATAGGCATTAATTGTGCATTGAGAAGTGACCTAAGAAAGAGTAGGAAACTTTGTATATGCACTTGCTCTATGAGTAGAAAACTTTGTGGATGCAACTACACTAAGGGTAGAGAGAATGAGAAGTGCTAAGAGTAGAGTGAATGAGAAGAGTAGTAGAAATGGGTTGATGCTTTGTGATCATCACCCGACAGTTATGAGAATCGGGTCGATGCTTCGTGATCATCACCCGAATAGTTATTAGAAATGGGTCGATGCTTTGTGATCATCACTCGAATAGTTATTAGAAATGGGTCGATGCTTTGTGATCATCACCCGAATAGTTATTAGAAACGGTGGATGCTTTGTGATCATCACCCAGTTAGTTATTAGAAAGGGGTTGATGCTTTGTGATCATCACCCGATATTTAGTAGAAATGGGTTGATGCTTTGTGATCATCACCCGACAGTGATTAGGAATGGGTTAATGCTTTGTGATCGTCACCCGAAAACCATGAGGAACGGGTAGGTGCTTTGTGGTGTCCACCCGATAGTTACGAAAACCGAGTAGGTGCTTCGTGATCCCCACTCGGTAGTCACTAAGAACGGGTTGGTGCTTTGTGATCATCACCCGACAGTCATGAAGAGTGAGATGGTGCTGTGTGAATGCCATCCGGCCGTACCTCCGGTAAAATGAGGCCATGACGTTTAATAGGAAACAGCAGAAAGTGTGAGGAAAGAAATTAAGAGAAATGCATATGGGGATAAACAGATAGAGGGTTTACTTACTGAGCATTATTTTGCACTCACCCCATTATTTTCCTTTGTGGATGCAGGATCTAGGTGATGATGCAGTCGGAGGGGTGTCGACAAGCGAGGAGCAATAGCTACACTGTTTCCCCTGTTTTTATCTTTTAAAATGGCTTTTTGTAAATGATGCTCTTTGTGTATAAAAGACATATTACTTATAATAAAAAGAAAAGTTTTGGGCCCATTTTCTATTGTTATGATGCATGCATTGTACTAGTTCATAGCAGTTGTTACACACTCTATGCACCTCAAGCGATAAATTTGTGTAATTTGCATTTTCGTAATTTTCATCAATTGTTGCTTAGATTGTGTGACTGGTTCACTATCGTATGAATTTGTGTTTGGTTGCTGAGAAAATTCAGAAACTATAGTTTACTGTATATTAATTCTTATTTTGCTGAATTTTTCCAACTAGCTAGCAAAGCATAATTAGTTTTGTTGTAGAATAGTTTGATTCAGTCAAACTTGATTTTCTTCTTTGAGAGCAGAAGCTTTAGTTGCTTATTTGGTCATATAATCCTTATTATATGAATTAAATCATATACACAGCTCAACCTTCTTCCCAATAAACGTAGAGAGCACCAAAACTACTTTCTAAAATACTGCGATTTCTATATTTGGCAGAATATGTATAGTTGAGATAAATATAATTCTTAAGCCTTATATACTGGAAGCACTTATGATGACAGTTTTTTTATGCTGATTAAATATTTTGAATGGCCTTAGGAAAATAAACTTTAGAAGTTTAAAGACACATGATTACATCAGTTCGACCTTAGTTATCTTTACATGTAGTCTAAGCTTAGGAATATACAAGGATGCAATGCTTAGAGTAATTGTCTGGCAATTAAAAAAAAAAAAACGCAGTTGCTTATTTGTTCAAAGCAAGGTTTTCATCTTCTAGTAATGTTCTTGAAGACTTCACAATTTTTTTTTTAATCCTTTTCATTTTGTGGTCTTTGTAAGTGCAGCTTCACTGCTTTGGGGTTCTCTTAAATAGTCGAACAAATAATTCCTATGTCCTCATTAAAGACAGAGATGCCCTCATCTCCAATCTTGTTGTAGGCCTTCATTTGCCAAGGTAATAAGATTTACCTTGAATGCATCTACCCTATTGTAAGCTAAGACCTATCTGTTATATAGCTTCAAAATTGTTGCATTTTTTATATGTTCATCCCAATTGTGAGGATCAGTGTCTTGGTTGGTTCTCTTACTGTGAATTTTTATTTTCAATTTCAGATTTTGTAGTTCATTATAATTGAATGAATTATTATATTGTTTATTCTTCTGTATTTGCTGGAACATATCCTTTTCCAACTTATCTTATAGGCAACCCAAATTGAACTAGCTTTCACATTTTTTATTGCATGTATTGCTGGTAAATAAAATGAGGGTTTCAGCAGAGGTGTAATGGATATGGTGGGACCAAAGTTGTAGAGACAAAGGGAGAATAGCAAGATGTTAAGAAAATAGAGGTCATTTATTTGTTTGGTTTGAGTGTCAAGAGGATGGGGAGCAATGTTGAAGTAGATGAGAGAAGTATGTTTATTGTCCCACTTTGGGTCATGGAGCCCATAAAACAAGAAGCTTGTGGCCTTGTCTTCTTACATCTATCTATTTTCTACCTATGGACCATTTCTAAACCACAACTAGTCTGCCCAGACAATTTTGGGGATGGAATTAGAATGAAAAAAAGTAGGCTTCTAAAACCCTAGTCATACATTATCCTATTGGGAAAATAAAGAGCAAAGAGGAAAATGGGTTTGAAAGTAACATCTAGATGTAGGGAGAAGTAGGGTTGGAAAAACAGGTTAGTGTGTTGTTTGTGTCATGTCAAATAAGCCTTAACTCGAAATTATAGTAGTAAATTAAATAAGATGAAGTTACATAAGTAGACCATCAAGGCATAATGAAAGCCGAAATCCAATGGGGAGTGAAGTATCCTATGCAGTAATAAAATGTCTTCACGTTGATTGCTAAAACCATTTGATTTTGACAATTATAGTTTTTGCTTCTCATATGCCATGGAGGATTTTCTGGAGTTATGACAAGATTCCTTTGAGTGTCTTCGTGGATCAATTAAGGCTGAGAAGCATTTTGCTCCTATAAGAAATTTTAGTGCGCCATCAACTACAGGGAGGTTCAATTTTTAAGTTCATGGAAATGATGCTTTTTGAAAGTAATTTTTCGTTTTTGGGCTCCAATGTTGTATGAAACAAAATATTCTTTTTTTTTTAATTTAAATGACAATTTTCTAGTTTTAATTTTTGCTTCAGGTCATTTTCTATGAGTAAGAATGGACGCCCCAAGTAGACAGAGAAGCTCTGTAGTGGGCACAACGGACTTATCTCTTTGGACACTTACAGAGGAGACAATTCTATTTCTAAGAAGTCGGGTGGACTCATCCTATTCTTGTTTTCTCTTTCTTGAAGAGGTTTGTGTATAGATTTATGTGCTTGATGATGACCTTCATTCTAAATGCTTCCTCTTAACCATTTAGTTCCATATGGGAATTTGGAGTTTTCATATGACTATTTAATGGCAATTTGTTGATTTTGAACTTCAAAGTTCCAACCTAAAAGATCAATATGATGTGATGCAGACAAGCAATCGGTTGCATAAAGTTTTAAGTTTTTAATCACTAAATCAGTAAAGATTAATTGACTAAAATTTTGAACAACATGCAGATATTGTGTCGTGTCTCTTGTCACTATTCTCACTTAATGCACCTTGTTTCTCTTCTTATTGATTATCAATGCTCTTGATTTTTTAATATTTTTATTTTGTTTTTGTGTCTATGTTATAGAACCATTCTTACC